GTAGCCAAATACTATAGAATTCACAAGGATCTACAACAATACTCATATGTAAATATACCAAATATGAATACGAGAGCCTATGCAGTTTCCCCTCAATTCCTGGCTCAATTCTCACAGGAAATTGGGGAGTCAGAATGTGGGTTGATTATTAAGAAAACAGCCAGAAGATTACGGGTGAGTTTCTCTGCTATTCAAATCCTCTACATATTTGTTGGACTAACCAACTACCCACCAGATTGCTGATGCATTTCCTGTTCATCAAGACATCTTTACTCTGCCAAGACATGAGGACAAATATGTTCCTGGTCGTCAGGATGATGAGATGATTGATTGCACTGAAGAACCCAACTACAGTATCCCACCCAAAATTATTGAGGAAGAACCATCTCGTGTGTTCTGGATGGAAGAAGAAATTGAAGGCTATACAACATTATTGTCAAATGACAATAATGTCTACTTCACCGGTGAACCTTGCTCTCCGACCAAATTTTTTCTCCACTCATTTCAACACTAGGTCTATGATCATACTTGTGGCCAGATCACCTTTCAAAGATTTAAAGGCCATGGGACCCTTATTTCCAAACCACACATTGTAGATTTGAGCACCAAGTATGTCCTATACATCCATCACCTTTATTGCAGTCTTAGACACTCATGATTTGTATACAGTCACCTCCTTCTTAACCCATATAGCCATTAACCCATAATTCAATTAACCCATGGCAAATCTAGTCCACGGATTTGGTGGGTGGGGAAATCAGTGCTTATCCCATAAGTATCTCTAGCGCTGTAATTCATACCATTCTTGAGAAAAAAATCAAATGTTTATGGGTTAAGAGGTACTTTTTCCTGGAACTTTCTTGAGCTTTTGCATTCAACAGAAACATCAATTTTTGAAAATTGAACTCAATTAATTTTTTTTTCCCACCAGTTGTTCTATCACATCAATCATTTTGCTTTGTGCTGAAAAGAGTTGAAAGCTTTGATCCCTGAGGAACCGTCTGCCCTTTCATGTATTCTTTTGAAAATTTTCCACCTGATTACGCTTTTCATCCTTACAAAACACAGAAGCTGGAGACCAGGACAACAATGAATCTAGTGAACCACCTCTGTGTCCCAAACCAACTGCTAAGGAGGTCTCCAAGGCGACCTTGCTCATCAATGACTACATCAAGAACGGCACCACTGAAGTTGCTCATAAACTGACTGAACCAGTCAATGGAAGCATACTCTCAACAAATTGTTGACCACCTGATTGCCACTGCTCAACAAACAAGCATCACATCATTTTTTCATCCCATGAACTCAAAATCATTTCTTCCTTTTTCTTTTTATATCTTTATACTTGTTTCCTCCTATCACCATTATGTCTGATTCATTCATAAACCACTTTACCTATGTCAAAATGCAACCAACCCATTAGTCTTCTAAAAAAAGCGCAAAAGTCTCTCTTGACTCATGCAAACTATGGGTTAAGGGATTCTTTACATCCATTAACCCATGCCATTCATGGGTAAATAGGGACACATCATTAACCCATGATATTATGGCATAATAGAGACTTTTACTCTTTACCATGACTCTCTTAACCCATAGTAAAATGAGTCCACCAAGGGGTATGTGTTAAGAGGGAGGTGACTGTACCCTTTGAATCCACAGGTCTCTTTGGTGGAATAAAAGCTCACAAAAGAACATGGGGATATTTCTTGAGAATCACAAGTGCAACAAGGTGTACAAAGCCCTTGAACTACCCAACTTGGTCCAAATCCCTTGGGACCCACCACCCAGTTCCCCCGGCAACTTTGGCCAAGCCAACGTCAACACTGCTCAATCCACCAGCAACATCCAACAATCCACCAGCTAGATTCATCAATCCAATAGCAAAATCCGTCAACCCACCAGCAACATCTGTCAATCCACCAGCAACATCTGTCACACCACTGGCAACACTGGAAAAACCAAAGAACAAACCCCTGGCCCTACTAATCAGATTGCGGATGAGGATCTGGGGCTGATCTCAGTTGTCAGACTGGGCACCCAGGCACTGAGGTCACAATTTCATGATTGACCTTTTCATGTATATAGATTTAATGGCCACTTAATCAATTATAAATCCTTTATGATTGCCTCTTTTCTCATGAATGCCCTTGTCACATATATAGAATTTACGGCCACTTAATCAATTATAATTCCTTTATAATTGTCTTTTTTCATGAGCCCATGTCACTTGAGCCCATTGATCAAAGCAAATGAAATGAATCAGGCAACCAGGGCTCAGCCCTTTTGGAATTGAGGCCATGTCTCATGTTCATTCAAAACCCTGAATCATACAGGCCTTTACTGGCATTCCACAAACCATCTGGGAGACATTTCCATTAATTCTGTCCCCTCTGGATAGAACAACTTCTGTAAGGCCTTGGGAGCAGATTTGGGCACTGGAATCAAACCTTGTTTGTCTCCGACCTGTGGTGGATATTGATAGCACCATTCTGCACTACATCAATTTGGGAGCATTCTCTTCTTGTCCCATCAAAGTTTGTAATTGTTATAGTTACTCGTCTTTTGATTGAGACTTTCTTTCAGAAGTGGAACCCATAATTAAATAAATAAAAGACTTGTAATGTGTGTGAATTTAGTCAGTTTATTACCAAACAAGAGAAGCTGTAAACCTACTGCTCAACAGGATCTTCTGGATCATAGTAAGATTCCTCTGCCGCCCAAAAGAGTTGGTTTATTAGCTTGCTGTTGTATTGCTTCATTAACTGCGACCATAGACACTCAATCTTCTGATTGTGAGTGCTCTTGGTGAACAATTGTGACTGAATTGGATCTGGGCAGTCTGCATTGAAAGATTCAGTGAGGTTGATCTGGTGGCCTGCCATGTGGATTGTTTTGGTTCCCCTGTCAGTAGATGTTTGGCAAGGTATGCCACCTTCACGTTTGACAATTTCGAGATAGTAGTATCCAATGTGTCAGGGGTTGTTGTTGGTGATGTGAACAAAGATTCCCAAAATCTTCCGGCTCCAAGCATTGATAAAACCATAGAGAGTGATCCCAAGCTTCTTGAGTTTGTTGTGGCTATTGGCAGACCAAATGAAGTTTGGTCCAGGTGTGTTTAACACGCAACGCTTTGAAACACTTTTTGATCAGTTATCAACACCTTCAGGATCAAGGGTACGGTTGATCAATGCAACTGTGAGACTTCATTCCAAACAATAAAATATCAGAAATAATTCCACAGGATTATAATAACAGAGAAGACATAACACACTTATGAATGTTGAACCCATATTTTGTCTGTAACAATTGTCGCATCTTTTGGTAACCAACGTTCCGGCCTTCAGGGGTTTGATGAATTTCCTGAATGCAAGAGACAATTGTATCAATGGCAACCTTGTTTAGAGATGGCATGGCAGGTACCTGTCTGATTTTCATGGAACCTGCCTCAAAGTGCTTGAGATCAAAGAACATCAATATGTAACACTTTCATCTCATCAAGTACCACTTGGAATTGAGGAATACACTCACATCACTGCTTGAGCTGGCACAGGTGAGAGTACAGATGCCAAATACCTGCGCACAGGTACCTGTTGGCAGGTAACTGTGCGCAGGTATTTGGAATCTATGATTGTACAGGTGCCTTGCTATAAAGCTATCTTAGGGTCTTCCTCAAGCCAAAGTGGTACTTGATGAGATGAAAGTGTTAAATATTGATGTTATTTGATCTCAAGCACTTTGAGGCAGGTTACATGAGAATCAGACAGGTACCTGCAGTGCCATCTCTAACCTTGTTGTTGTCCAAATTGTCAGTTCACCGTGTCAGGTTCATGGATTTGATCTTCCTTTCAAGTGTTTGAAAAGATTGAGTACAGTCGTGACTTGTTGTTAGAGCATGGTGGATTTGTGAATATGACAATCCTTGTTCAAAGTAGGTTTGGATGTGGTCTTCAAGCTGATTGGAATGTTCAGTTACTCAAAGTATAAGCCCCCAATCTTCCTTCCTTTGTGTGAGTGTTTGCTGGGAGACGGATATGGTGTGCGTGTCTTGAATATGTTTGCATATTTCAGCGTCTGTCAGGCCATTTTCAACTAGAAGAGAAACCTCGGCCTCAAAATTGTCACCAAAAGATCACATTGAGGCACACATGATGGATGGCTAGTGTATGTAGTAAGATCTGGTGGGGAGTTGTTGAGTTGTTGGTCTGGTAAGGGTCAGCAGTTAGTGAGAGTGATTATTGAGCTTGGTTGCCAGCTGAATCATCGGTCTAAGAGCTGTGGTGTATGTGTTATGCGTTGAGGATGGTACTTTTGTCCCAGGGAGCTTATCACATATTTGTGTATGTATTGGAATGTTTAAGATGTATCATCAGGGTGTATGACATACATGTCAGATCCACTTGGCCAACTTGGCAGTTGGAATCACTCATATTTGTTTGAAAATTGTGTTTTTCATTCTTTCATTTTTTTTTTTTGGCCAAAGTGGCTGTTCAGTACCTCCATGATTTTGTGTTATTTTTTTTAGAAAAAAAAAATCAAACCTTTCTTAAGTGAGTTACATGTTATCCTTTTTTTGAAATTGGATTGTTGGTACTGTAAAGTAATTGGCCTGGATCCTAACTCTAGGCCGGGCTCTGTTATCTTTCTGATGAGTTGAATCTAGGGAATGTGGCTTGAGCAACCACCTAACACACTGCCTGGGCCGCAGTAATGACAAAATATAATTAGGCTCGGCTTCATATGAGGGGTTTAGTCTTGACAGTCAAAGAGACAGATGTTTCATGTTATCTTTCTTTTTTGGGGTACATATTTGTTTTTTTCTTTCAAATTTTTTATAATTTATCACTCACTTATAAAGTTATGCTCAAATGAGCTAAAAATTGATTTTGGAATGTTTGATGAATTTCTATCTCTGGGCTAAAATAGCTCAGTTTAGCCTAATTTCTACTCCTGAGGCAACAATGCCTTTTTTTCACTGAATTTGAAATGACATCTCACTGTGGTCCTCACACATTCTCCCTCTCATACAAAGGTATAGCAAAATACAGATCTCTATTATTATACCTTATACTTTCCACCAATTAAAACATGAAAACCCCTTCAAAACAAAAAAGGCAAGTGAATGTTTTAAGTATATATGTAAATATGTTGTGTGTGTGTGTATTTTTGGTTGTTTTGTATGTTTGTAGTAATGATGATTGTATATAAATATAGATGTATAGAGCTTTCTTTGGCTTGGATTGGCTTGGATTGGAATGGAATGGTGTATTGTATTGTATTGTATTCAAAAAAAAGTATATGAGGAGATGATGATCAAAGGAGATATGAAAGAAGGAGATGGATAAAAAAAGACGACATACAAAACAGTAGCAGTTGAAAAAAATGTAAAGATGTTGATAGTATATATATATATGTGTGTGAACTCAAATACATCAACATATATGTAAGAGTAGCCAATGATAATCAAAAAAGAGATGATATAAAAAAAGGAAAGGAAAGACAGGAAATGATATAAAAGAAGAAATAAAGATTAACCTACGGAGCGTTGATCGAGAGGGATGGTATTCCGTTGATTGACAGGAGCAGTGGAGGAAGAAGTAGACGAAGGATTAAGAGAAGAGTTATCGTTAGGAAAGAAAGATGGATTCGTATTCGAATTTGAATTTAGGTTAGAAGGATGAGGGGGAGGATGAGGGGGATAAGAAGCAGGGAGATGAGTGATAGAGGAGGGTGAGGGAAGCTTCGAAGAAGAGTTTGAGGATGGATGGGGGAGAGAAGGACCGGATGAGGAGGAGGAAGGCAGAGCAGTTTGGTCGCGATGGAAGCTGTGTCGTTGCTGAGAGGGGGAATGTAGGGAAGATTCTCTGAGCTGGTGGTGGAGATGAGCGGCGGGGTCGAGGGGCCGATTGGGAGTGGGAGGACCGAGGGCAGGGGAGCCGGGGTAGCCATTGGGTTCGGCGGGATGCCCATTGGCATACTGGGCCGTCCGGCCCTGCTGCTGCTCGGCCCGCGCGCCGTCGCTCTGGTGTACCGACGAGGCGTGGAGGTCCGGCCGGTGCGGCTGGACTTCTCCCTTTCCCCGGTAGTGCTCTGTGCCCACTTTCCCTGGTGCACGCAGTTTGCCATGGTTGGCTTTCAACAGAGCTTCGACTCGCTTCAATACTACATTAATCAAGTCAGATTAACACTGTTTGATGAGAAGATCTAATAAAAAAAAAATGAGTGGTGACTAACTATCTTTGGAGGTGATCTCATTCATGTTTGAGCTCAGCAGTTCTTGATCTTGCATGATCAGCTGGACCTCTGGAGGCATCTGGAAGAGCTCGTCCTGATATTCGAGCAGCTCGTTAACGGCTCGAATGGCTAGGAAGGATTCATCTCTTGTCGGATCCTTCGAGCGGGCGTAGAGGATATTTGGTGTGATGACCGTCGCCAGGTTCTGCAGGTCCATCTTCGAGCCCGTCTCCTCATCCACATGTGAGAATGAGGCCACCCATTTCATAAAGACAAACAGCACCTCCATCGTGTCTCGGTGCGCCTTTGGTAGCAAGCAACATATCAGATGCAGTGTTTTCCGTCGTGCGGCATCATTTTCGACCCCTGTTGAGTTAAACGATGTAGAGCATGAGATATCCATAATGATAAATCTAGGGGGAAACAAAAAATGAAGACCTACGTTGAGAAGCAATGAACAAGTGATACAACTTGAAAGTCAAGAGAGGATCAGGGAGATCTCTCAAAAACTTTTTCAAGAGGGCGGCAAGTTGGACGGCATTATCGTCGCTGAAGTTCACATTAGAGTCGTCGCGATCGATAGCGTCGGTAAGCTCCTTGAGTCGACGGATGTTCCCATTCTTCCTGAACACGCCTTCAACCGACATGTCCATCTGCTTCATCGCCGAAATACAGTCGTCGACAAAACTTGGTACACGTAACTGGCCTGCTCCTGCCCCTAGTAGAGAATCAACTCCATGTCTCTCGATCAATACGTCCAATGGTACCCCGAAAACACCTGGTGCAAATATGATATATATCCAACTGTTAATCATGTTTCTTGTTGTACATAAAACGCTCCCCAAACAAACGATCTACCACTTACCCTTTTTCTTAATCTTAGCCTTATCGTTACCACCCTTGAACAGTTTGCCCCAGAAGTTACCCTTCCGAGCCTCGATAATTTCCAGCAGTTCGTCCAGTGAGGTATCGTCCTTGATGGCTGAGCTCTCACTAGCAAGAGTCAGAGCGGCGACGTGCTTGACGATAACCGACTCAAGTGCGGAGAGCTCCGAGAGGGTGGCGACTTGAGTGGGGAGAGGTTTCTGCTGCTCCCTGAACTGCTCGGCTTCCATAGCCCGAGGTAGGTCGGCGAGGGTGATCCCCTCGGTATCTCGGCCGACCGGGCTGGTCGAACTGCCCAGTCGGGGCTCGTCTCGTCCCATCAACTCATTCGGCCCCGGATGGTCGTTCACGATCCTGACTGCGGTCAGGTTCCGAGCAAGGGCTGGGCGGACATCAGTGGTGTACTGCTGCTTGCTCAGATCCCCATAAACTGGTGGTGAGGCCACCAGCATCGATGAGGTGGGGTAATTCAGATGGGCTCCATTGCCTTGAGGTATCAGGTTGAGATGAGTCGGCGGTGGCCTAGGAGGCGGTTCGGTTCGCGGCAGATTAGTAAAATCGCGCTCCCTGGTGGGATGTGTGATACTAGGACGCTGGCGATCCTGAGTCTGACGAATTGGACCAACGGGTGACCGACTACTTGACTGTCGAATGGCCGGATCGTTCGGCCGTAGCGATGACGATCCATGTCCACCGCCGTTCTGCTGCTGCTGCTGCTGCTGCTGCTGCTGGGATTCGTTTGTTGATTGGGCTACTCGCCCTGACGGACTCTCTACAACAGTCGACCGCTGGGGTATGCGTGCTGTAGTGGACAGCTTCCGATCTAAATCTACAGACTTCATCCGCTTGATATCAGTCGAGTTCCGATAAGCATCATATAACGACCTCTCGTCCCCATTCATCTGGGTGAAGCGAGGATCATCTAATACAAATGGAATTGTTTGATCAATTAGCCACAACTTGATGAGCTGCAATTAGAATGAAAAGGAAAGGCGGACCTGCTGAAGCTGGTAAAATGCCCCGCTGTTTGAGCAAGCCATAAAGTTTATTGAGAGCAACACAGAGTAAGAAAGCATATTGTTCGAGACGGGTGACTGATTCAAAGCCATCTTTCAAGGTGACAGGAGGGAGATTCTGGTTATGAGTAGCGATCGCAGCGCATTCGTCGCAGTAAATATGTACAAATTTCAGCCGAGTACCTTCACGAGGTGCTTGGACGTCGGCCTTGAAGCGTTTCACAGGAATTGGGGGTAGTTGGCACGAGGGTGGATTGTCGGTCGGGGTGAGCTGGTTGGCAGGTTTTTCAGGTTTAATCGCAGGTCGTTGACAGGTCGAACATTTCAAACATGCCGTATGCCATCGTGCACTCGTCCCGAATCGAACACATTCCTCTTCAACTGTTTGCTTACACCCCTCACACAAGTCTGTTGTTGCTTCACCCTTTCCTACCAGTGTCCCAACGGCCCTGGTCAAGCTTTTATACCCATACGGGCGAAGTTTGCCATTTGCTGAGGCTGTGTTGGCATTTTGGCTTGAAGAAGGTCCAGTGCGATCGGGTTGAGCAGATGGTTGACCAGTCGTGGCCTTCGAAGCATCGGGATCTCTTGCTAGACGGTCGAGCCGACTCAAGAATTGTAGTATCCCGTTCCGGTCAGAGTATTCTCGTTCTAGTTTCAGTGCACTGGTCAAGGCGATCCGAATCAGAATCTTGAGATAATGTGCCAGTCCGGTGACAAGAGAAAGTAGCTCTTTGGTGATGCTCATCTTGCGAGCACCGGTCTCGTGAGTGTGTGATAGGAGGGAGAAGAAATTGACGATTTTTTTACAAAGCATCCTGGCTTCTCGTACATGAGAGATCTCTGATGATGGGATACGGGGGAATGGCCAGGTCAGTCATGGAACTGGATGAAGGGAGAGTTGAAACAGAAATGTTTTGGACGGACCCTGTGCATTTTTACTTCGGAAGATGACGTCCAGGTCGTCGATAGCTGCAAAGAGTGTTTCGACATGGAGGACGAACTTGCCAGCCATTCGGACGCCCTCGAGATAGAGACCACTGCTGACATGACGGAGCATCTCACTGATACAAGCCGCACTGCTCTCTTCGAAGGTGGATAGGACGGTCCAGATTCTGTAGACTTGCTCTTCCATCTGTTTCTGTTTCTCTTTGAGAGTTTGGGCGGTTTCATAAGTTTCTTGTTTTCGCCAGTTTTCAGGAGATTCAGGGGGATGTTGAACGGAGGCTTGTGAGCTTTTGACGGTTTGGGTTGAGACGGCGGTAGATGAGGATGGGTCGATTGAGTTTGAATCAGAATGGGTATCATGAATATGTGAAGGATTGTTTTCGGAGGGTTGGAGGCTTTGTGGATTCGAGGAAGAGACGGCGAGCTTGATGTTCCAGAATTTATTGATCATGTAACTAAAGGTAGATGAAGATTCAAGATAGGGAGAAAACAAAACAAGGAACGATGTCAATCAGAAAGTAGAGTATGGTCAAGCAGGAAGGATGAACGTACCACTCTGGATGCCAATGTTCATCGGTGTTATTCCTATTGATTTCGACAAACTGTTTGAGGATGGCCGTCCGACAGCCAGTACATTTGACTGCAAACCTAGTGGAGTAGTGGAAATGACAGTAGACCTGACCGGAGTGCTCGTAATAACTATCCTGAGGTCCAAAGACGGTGGGACAAACTGAACAAGTGAAATGTTCGACGTGAAACTTCATGTCTACACGATGAGTAAGTCAGTTGAATGCGAGATCCGAAGTAATGATGATCTTTGAGATGGATGAGTGAGACTTACCCAGTGCTGTGATATAACTACCTCTGAGGGCCCCACCACATTTGGCACAGATAAGCCCCAAGCGCCTGAAGTAATCTGTCTCACAGAGTGGATACTGAGTTCTTCCATCGGGTGAGCCACTGTCGACTGGGAAGAATTTACTGGCAACCACCTTGCCACAGTCCTGACATCTGAAGCAGTTGAGATGGTAGACGGTGCCAAGAGCTCGGACGAACTGGCCGGTCATTGATTGTCGACATTTTGCACAAGGTTGACGTGGGCTGGAGCCGGTTGAAGGTGTAGGGGGCGTGTTGGGTGGCAGACTGGGTGAGGGAGTTTGGAGTGAGGATTGATGATGAGCTGAGGAGGAGGAGGAGGAGTCGATAAGGTTGTGTGTGGATGTTTGATGGGATGAGTGGGTTGATTGAGAGGATTCCATGGATGATTGGGTTCTGGGTTGATTCTTGTTTGGTGATGGTCTAGTTTGAATTTGGTGATGATGATGATGATGGTGGTGGTGGAGATGGTTCGGTTGAGGGATCCGGAAGGGGTGAGTGTCATCCAAGCATGAGGTGGGATCAGAGCGAGACTTGAATAGAGGCTGACGATCAAGTTGCAGTTGCTGCTGTTGAGAGGGGTAGGTAGAACGAGCGAGTCGGTTGGATCTGATGTTGGGGTGTCTGATGATGATGTTGAGGTTGAATGTATGATGCTGTTGATTGACAGAATGATGAGTGAATGAATTTTGGTGAAAGCACTGAGGATGTCTGGTTGAGTTTGTTCTTCCAGAGAGTTTCTTGGATGCTGTGCTCGTAGTTTGGTTTGGGCTGAGTATTTCTGGGCTGGTGCTGGTGCAGATGTTGCTATTAGTAGTAGTAGTCTCACCTACCTGATGAGCTCATGCTGTGGTGCTGTAGTTGTTGTTCTTCTCGGTCGACTTGCGGCTGGGCAGCTTTAGCAGTCGGGTAGAGACTATCAGACTCGAACTACGGGGACTGAAACTGGACTGGGCGGGGCGACCGGGGAGAGGGCACCCAGCGTCGGTGGATGACCGAACTCGATCGGGGACATGACCGCCCATCGTATGGTCAGCAGGAACAGCCGAAGAGGAATCCATGCAATGATGAGAAAGCTGCTGTTGACCTTCGGACTGGGAGGGAGGAAGATCCTTCGCCCCGAGGGGTGATGGTCTGGACTGCAACATCGAGGCTGAGCTACAAGATTCCTGACTCTGAGTCTGGGTAGCAGAAGTATTGAGTACTGCATCATCAGAAGGGGTGGCTCTGGTAGCTCTACTATCACCATCAATGCTCTTCTGTCTAACACCCTCGTCCAGACCCTTGTCGACCTGATTGAATTGGCAGGTCAATAGATCATGCTGAGAGTTGGTCGGTGGCGCACCTCTCGGGCGAGCGTGCTCGTCGTGCTGATCGTAGTCGTCTCTAGTTCGTTCTTCTTCTCCGAATGAGTATTGTTATTGTTGCTTGTATTATTATCGTCATCATTATTATTATTATTATTATTACTAGTCAGGTTGGGTGATGGGTTGAGTAACTCAGAACATTCGATGTGATCAGCCGCATCCGAGTAATCGCTAGGCTGACTATCACCATCATCAGTGTTTTCGTCTCGGTTTTCATCGGCTTCGAGGCGGATTGAGCTGGCCGATGACAGACTGGCTGTCTGTATTACTTCGGAGGGTGATCGATCGGAGTGACTGTTACAGTTCTCAACTGATTCTCGGGTACCATCACCACCGCCGATATGGGCAGCACCAGCAGAAAGTTCATCCATCCCTTCTCCTGCTTCCTTAATAGGAGTCCTTCTTCAGGCACCCTTTGATCTTGATCTCTATCTGCTGCTCGATCTTCCCTCCTCGACGGTCGTCTTGTCTAGTTCTTGAGCCGGAAAAGAAAGAAACGATCAAGAAAAAGGACAATCGAGAATGTGGTCACTCTGGGTTCCTCTGCTTCGATCGATCTCTGGTGCTAAAAATATATAATAATCAATAAAAAGACGTAGCGCTATGGGTCGAAATAAAAAAATAATAATAATAAGGGATGTGCTGGAATGTGGGGACGGGTGTTGAACTTATAGGCCGACAAATTTGTGAGCCCCCTCTCGCAACTGGATCGAACCGGAACAAGATGTTGTTAAACCAGTCGCGCGTGGATAACTTGAACCCTAACTCGATCTCAGTCTCTCAAACATTCAACCCGAACGTTCTCAAGCAGACTGTTCTTGACAGAAAACATTAAATCACATCTTCAACCCATCAGCCCATCAAACGACCGACTGTTCTCATCATTTACAATCACAAAACATCCAGCATCGAGAGAGATGAACGAAGCGAAATCAACAGACTAGCAGCGGCGTCGTGAATTACTGTACAACTCACTTTTTTAAGAAGAGGGTTAAAGAAAAATATAGAAGAGAAGGTGTAGGATCCAAGATCCAAGCTGAGGTTAAAGCATCTGTGTCGCAACTTTCACCGAAGTCCCTTGGGGCTTACATACAATCATCCAAGGCGCCTCCTCATGAAAGGAACCCTATAAAATCTACGTTGAAAGGCAAAGTTGGTATTTATAATTTGGGGCTTGGAAAAACGACTCCTAAAAATTAGTCGACGACTCCCGTTTTGGTCGGGGGGTCGTCGGATGGGAGTCGTTCTTCCAATTCCCCCAAAAAAAAGGGGAGTCGTCGTCCTAATTTCAATGGCGATTTTTTAATTTTTTTTTATTAAAAAAATGGGAGTCGCCCGCCTAAAGGGCGGGAGTCGTCATACCAATTTAGCCAAATATTTTTTATTTTTTTTCATTAAAAAAATTGGGAGTCGCCCGCCTAAAGGGCGGGAGTCGTCGTACCAATTTAGCCAAATATTTTTTTATTTTTTTTCATTAAAAAAATTGGGAGTCGTCTGCCTAAAGGGCGGGAGTCGGCGCCCCAATTTATCCAACTAATCTAATTTTTTTTTATTAAAAAAAAAGGGAGTCGTCCAACTCAAAACAGGAGTTGTTGACCTCTAGCGACCCTAAAAACTCAAAAAAAAAGTTCAGCCACTGGGGCCCCGCCCCAAAGGCACTTTATCAATGATTAAAAATTAGATTCATTGAGAAAAACAAATTCAAGAAATAATTGAAATAAATTGATGAGATGTTGAGAAATGTAAACAAAAAAACAATGAGAAATGTAAGAAAAAAAATAGGGATAAAAGAATTCAATTGATGAGAAATATAAGAAAAAAACACAGGGTAAAAAAGGACAGAGGAAAAAAAATAAAAACTAAAAAAAGACACAGGCAGAAAAAAAACTAGTAGTGGGTCATTGGATCTTGAAACCTTCCTCCCTACACTCACATGGAAACAATCAGAACAGAAGAGTTCCCGTCCCCCACACTCATCTGACGACCTGTTCTTTTCCAACATTTCTGCCGCGCTTAGGCGTCGACTTCCTTCTTTTT